ATCAGCCAGGAATCATGTTAACAGAAGTCAAGATTGCTGCATTTTTAAACATGAACTAACAGATTACTATACAGAATGATTACTTGGTGGTGCGAATCAGTTTATGTCTGAATTTTCAATATAAATCAAACACTGCATTCAAAATCGACATCAGATTTGTGGATAGAAGGAGAAAATTCAAATGAACCAGAGAATATTCAAAGTCACAATACACACTGCTTGGAATATTTTTAAGGGGGAAAAAAAAAAAACAAAACAGTATTTTCAGAACCAAATTGTCCTAAGAAAAAAGTTACAGAAAAGCAAAAATCAAGATGAAAGCAGTCATTATGTCATATCTGCCTTTTTTCATTTTCTTGCCCCTTCTTATGGGCCACACTTGTGTGAACAGAATTCAACATGTATTCTTACATTTTAACAACAATATTCACCAGAATTAAAAGCCTTAATTTTTACCCCTTGTAAAAGAGCAAAAAATTTACAAGCATAAGTATGACTTAGACAGCTCTGGATGAACAGAACAGAAGAATGAGAACAGTAAAGGAAAAGAAGTGGAAGTAAAGAACAGAGGGATCAGAAGAAAAATAATTCCAACACACAAAGCTCCAGTTATTGCAAGATTCAAGTTTCGAGCCCACCTACAGATGCCTTTGTAACTCAGATGCTTTCAGAAAGTTCATCAAAAACACACTCTTCCTATTTTTAGTAAATACCTCTGAGCTTAAAAAGCACGGGCAGGATCACCAGCCCCGTTACATGCCTAAGCAGGCTCCTTTAGCTGTATTCAGCTCTCCCAATTCTATACACATATGTATCTACAGCCATCTACCAAGTAGATTTAAACTCTGGAGACATACATACACAGGAGCACTAACATTTTTAATTCATTATAATATACAAGAGACCAGTACTGATATTTTTTGCTACCATTCTTGGAAGAGATGAACAAAATATCTGTTTTCAATGAGAGAAAAAATATCAAAGGCATAACATAGCTAAAAGCACAATATTAATTTCACATTGGTAAAAGCTCATTTTAATTACAGGAGTCCTTCATTTAGGACAGTGTTTCCCTATTAGTTTTATTTATGGCTTTTAATTTGGCACGCATTAAACATTTAATTCATGTATTTAAATACTTTGCTATAGAACAGAGTAATTAAGAGGAAGAAGTCAAAACCAGGACGATGCTCACTGATCACCATCTCCTTCTATTTGCAGGGGTACATTTTTATCTTCAAGTGGTATGGTTTTTTTCCTCTCTTAAAACCACACCTCTTTTCTTTAACACCACCATCAAGTGTTATCTACTTTCCCTCCCAAGTTCTACAACCTTTCCTTCTTGCATTCTTTCCTCTAGATTCTGTCTACAGTCCGTTTTGGGGAAAATCTGTATCACAGCCCTTATGCAGTTCACTTCAAGTTATAATCTGTTGCCAGGTAAGTGAGAAGCACCATAAATCTGCTGCTTTCAACACTTTAAATTCAGAACACTTTTAGCCAGACCAAGACTCAACTATAACATCATCACTGCAGCATGCTGATTTTATCTTAACATAAATACATCACTAGATGCCAACCGTTTTCGAGCAGTAAAACTATGTACACGGCTTGATGATCTTTATAAACAAAATTTGGGTCATGCAACAAATGGGACTGCTCAGCCACCAAAAAAAAAAAAAAAACAACAAAAAAAAAAGGAGAAAAACATAAATAAAGATTACAAACCTCACAAACCTAAAGGTTCTAAATAGCTTTTTTTTTTTAAATGGTGCATCTTAAAGATAGAATTCTTGAATACATAAAAAAACCCTCTTCCTTTTCATCTTACTTCCGGTTCTCAATCCATGACAATGCATTTTCAGCGTAAAAAGACATTTTTTTTTTCCCATTCTCTACACTCTCTTTCACTAAGTAACTCATCTTTCCTTTTCCTTGGGCATGTACTCTCTCTTCCTCACTCCTCATTCCACATGACAAATCAGTGGAAATTATCCTGCAGGTATTCTGAAACCTCTTAAAAATTCACCCATTGCCTGCCCCAGAATTACTCCTCCCTCTAGTTGTACTGCACTATTATTCCACCTGGTTGTAGGAAAGACAACTGTTTCTGCCCGACTTCTTTAGTATACAAAAAGCTGGAAAAGCACCCTCACACCAGTGTCCAGAGACTTTATCACTGGATTTCCAAAAATCAAACCAGAAAAGTGACAGGAACACAGTGGTAAAGTCAACAAAAACATTGGAAACACTCGATGTTCTCAGTTAAAGCAGATAGATGAAGCTGCACGATACAGTTATTGCACAAAGCATTGACCTTGTCAGCTTGCCTAAAAAAAAATAAATTATTTAAGAGTTGGTATATAGCTCAGCACAAATGTATTCCTGGTGTTAATTTTAGCTTTTTATTATTTTAAATTGATGGCTATAATTATTTCCAATATCCTTGTCTCAGAGTTGCTTAGGTTTCATTTGCTGAGTCTAGATAAACAAATATCTTTGCTTACAGAAATAAAACAGAAGGAAACTGAGAAAAACGCTAAGAAAAATTAAGACTGACAAAATGAAAAATTAAGAAACAGAACTTCTTTAAAGAAACATCAACTCTTCTTTAAAGGATACAACAGATAAACTGGTTGTTTGAGAAAGGTTAACAAAACACCTCATTTTATTAACATAGCTACATTTGTTTTATATTTCCAGAACAATTTCAAACTCAGCAGTGGTATTGGTTCTGTTTCTCTGAAAAATCACAAATAACTTTTTCTTTCCTCCCTCCTCTGTTCCACAGAGTATTGGGTGGCACTCAGGATGACCAAAAGGTGAAGTTCAAAGGGACGCTTTTTCCTATTTATCAAGATAAGCCACTCATGCCATCTGTCTGTTTGGCTGTACTGCTGAAAACTGATATATTCCTGTTTTGTTGCATCTTCCTTGTTTAAAACCATGATTTTTCAGTAATGACAGTTTCCCAAGTGGTTTAATCCATGTCAGAAGTATTTGGGGAAAAAATGAATAAAAACCACTGCCTGATGATATTCACATTTTCATAAATCTGTGATGTGGTTATCATTGAAAATGGCCATGTGTTTGGCATTACAGAGTCAAAACAGGTGCAGGAATGGTTTATGAACAAAGGTCTAAAGGTTAAAAGCAAAAAACCACAGTTATCCTATTTTATGTTCTCCCGTTCTACTACAAAGAGGTTGAAAACAGTTAAAGGTTTACCAAAACTCTTTTGTACAGCACTATTTTTCTGTTAATACATTTACATTCTATAAATGAAAAGGCTTTATTCTTAATTGAGCTTCACAAACAAAATAAGATGAAAACACATTCAAGTTTTCTACTTAATAGCACACACATGGTGATTGTGAAATACTGTCTATAACCTTTCCAGTTTAAACTAGCCCACAGTCGAGTACCATTAGCAAAAAGTACTGGATTTTTACTGTGTGGTTTAGAGGATTTTTCCACTGAACTAGCAAAGTACTCGCTGAGTATTTTACGTAGCTATTTGGCATGCATTCCTGTTTACTTAATTTGAAAATATTATATAAATGACAACACTGTGCTTTCAATTTATTTATTTTTTGGTCTATTTTCACATCTTATGAAACCTTGCCTTATCCCAGGGCAATGGTGGTTTGAGTACTGTCAATACAAAAGAACAGTCAATATTAGACCAGAGCAGAGAAAGTGAAAGGCGCACAGATTGTGCAACTGCCATATCAGGCTGCTTGTTTAAGCATCAAATTAGACTGCCAGCTATCAACATAAAGCAGGCTTTCATATACCTTACTTCATTAACAATGGAAGTATCTGCAAACCAAATTTACCCTGCCCTGTATCTCAGTTAAAGATGACTTCTGAAGTGTCTTAAAGGTAGTATTAGGACAGTTCTAATTCACAAGCCTCCTTACAACATGCCACATAAAAGGAGGGACAATTTCATGGTTTGCAGATGACACCCCTTTCCCTTCCAACTTGTACATATTTGGAGCCCTATGTAGGTCTAAGTACTGTGGATAGCTACAGAATTGTGTATATATGTCTCAATTTTCCAAGAGCATATGGCTGAAAACAGGAATTTGAAGCGCAAAGCAAGAAGAGTGTTGGGTCTGTATTGTTTGGGGTTTTTTTGTTTGTGTTTTTTTGTTTGTTTGGGGTTTTTTTTTGTTTTTTTTTGTTTTTTTGTTTTTTTTTATAATTTTCCTAATACATGTTGAATTTCCTTTCCTGAAGTCCGTTCCACCAGGCCATTGATACACTGACTTCCAAAAAAGGTAATGCTGATATGATTTCAGAAGAATCTGAATTATCTATGTGCTAAACATATTTGAGTTTTATCTCATGACTGATGTTTTAAATAAACTGGGTAGCTTATGACAAAAATAGCATAGGCATACAAGTTCTTTAAACCATGAAAAAGGTGAAAATGACCACAAAACTTTACTTTTGTACACACTGAAAACAAAATAACACAGTATAGGAGAATTAGAGAAGCAAGATTTGACAATTATCTCACCAATTAACAATGTTCAAAAATAGTAATACAGAACACCATATGAATAAAAGAGGATTGGAGCTAAATGAGGCAAATACAGAAATAATGTAGATCCTAAAACAAATAAGGTCTAAATCTGCAGATTTTTAAAGGTATATAGAAAGTAAACAAAATTCCTCACTAAATCAAGAGTTCCACTGCTTCTGTTAATAGGCAGTTTGGAAAATTCCTAGAATTCAAACTCCTCTACATTAAAAATTCCTTCAATGGAACAGTAAAAGTTTTCAGAGTGTCTTTTTTATTCCCTAAGTAATTGGGAAATACGTTAAGTATTTAATGAAAAGCCCTGTCACTTCACCAAAAATTCTCTTACGTGAGATTTTTCTGCTCTATAACAAACTGCTTTGTGAATATCCAATTTCCAAAGAAAATGTCCTAATTTACTAATTTGGGTGTAATCTTCTTTTTCTAGAAAGACTAAAAAGAATCTTACCTCTTTTTCATGCATTCGAAATAGTGCCTGTTCATTATGAAAAGTGCTGCTTTTTCCTAGGCCAATTTTGGGTGTCATCTGTTAAATGAGAAAGAATTCAAAACAACTTAGTTCTAAGCAGTAACTCCAAGTAAAATCAATCCCAACCAGAAATGAAAAATATTAAGCATGTTTGTTCGCCCTTATAAAAGACCAAGGGAATATAAATACCTACCAAAGACACTGGCATCGGTTTTTCTCGCAAATACCTTGGATTTTCTAACTGAAAAACAGCAAGTTAGAGAAAAAGCAATCACGTCATCAGTGTCTTATTATTTTTTACAAACAGTAAGAAATAACCCCAAATATTCAAAAAAGTTTGCAATGACAAGTTTGGGTGCATACTCTGAGAGGTAATCTCTATCAGCGGGGGTATGCTTAACACGGTAACTACGTAACTCAGAACAACACCAGAACAGATTTAAGCATGCCTTCAGACGTACACACCAGTTCAAGAACTGCTCTCCACTAGAAAATCTGATTATCTATTAAAACATAGTTAACCTGCAAATCATCAAAACAGTACCATCTCTAGATACATGGTGTAAGCTACAAGTAACACACAAATTAATTTTCTGGTGCATAATACTCTCTCCTTTAGAACATTTCAATGATCCATAAGAAAAGCACTCAGCAAAAGGCAAAGGTACAATAACACACTGTCATCTTTAACAAGTTATAGAAATAGGAAACCTTCATAAGAGATCATTTTGTTGAACACGACCTACTCAGCCAGTTTTAAAGTTTTAGTGTTTCCTAAAGCAAATGGATTAAAAATTGCACTTTTTCCAAATCCTTGTGGTTGTAAAAATTCCATCAATGCATTTTTTAAAAGAATTTGGCAGCTAAATGCATATCTTATGCAAAAGATTTCCAACTTCATTGGATAAACTTTCATTTAAATCAGTGTAAAGCTAGAATAAATTTACAGATTACAATGATTTTAATCTAGTGTTTTTGAAAAATTACAGTTGAGTACACTGAAACTATATCCACACATGTAAGCCATAAAGACAAAACATAAGGAAATAATTCATTAACACTACTGTATAATTAAAGCAGCTCTTTTAATCACTATTTTTAAGAACTGAATACAAAACATTGTTCACAACCCACTTCCTCTATCAGACAGATATATCTTTTTAATTTTCTCAGACGATGAGGCTCAAACATCACATCACAGAGAATGCATAACACCCAACAAAAGCTTTCAAGGGTATAATATTGTAAAATGTGGCAGTGAGATTTGGAATATGAATGTGATTGGAATATACATCACACGACATTTAGTCTATTTTTTTTTATATATTAATCTATAAGGCATGGCAAATATATCAAATGCTTGCACTTTCTCCAGTACTATTAACTAAATTTGTGTGTTGAATTTATCAGTGAAAAAGAGGCTTAATCCCTCTAAAATTTTAATTTGATACAGGATTATTCATTTCCTGTTCTAAAAGGTTATATAGGATTTCTAAACACAGTTGAAGAATCATCATATTTCATCCAGCAGTACTTGTAGATATTTGTATGTTTAACACATACATTCAATTTCAATTAATAGTGTTTTCTAATATGTTAATACTATAGCTGAAAGTACAGGAAAAACAATAATTTAAAAAAACCTATTTGTCCTTATTGTCAAGGAGTTTACTAATACAAGTACACGAAGCTTTCTTTCATATAAAGCATTCTGGGCTGTTTTTATTTCAGGATTTTTTGATGTCTTTTTTTTTTTTTTTAAATATGCCACAATGGTTGGCATGCAAAAAACATGAGTAGATATTAGTGAATAAAAAATCTTCTATGTACCTACTGAAAAAAAAAAAAAATAATTTTGGACACAGAAGAGAAGATTGGTGACGAGAGGAATACAGGCATGAGAACATCACAGCGCATTAACCACAGCAGATAGATAACAAGGTGGGGGGTAAGTCAAGGTAGAGATGGAAATAAAAAGTACAGAAATTCTAAACCAGAAACATTTAAGGGGATTTTCTTTGTCCTACAAATTTGTACCTGCAGTAATACCTTCTATCTAAAATTCTCTGATTTTACTAGTATTACATTCTTCCTTCCAGCTCATTTCACCTACTTCCCCATCCATCCCGCACAGCTACTCATCACCTGCACAGATACCCAGGGCAGAAGGCGGCTTGCCCCAAGCGCAAGGCAGACAGAGACCGCTGGTCCGGCTGCCCGGCGCGCCGAGCAGGAGACACTGAAAGCCTTCACCAACACCTGGCGGAATTTTGAGAAGGCTAAGGCTGCAGAACCAAACTACAAAGGCTTAATTATTTTGCAAAATCCCTCCCTCTCACGCAAAATGAACGCAATCACCCTCTACTTCTGCTTTTTTAAAGCTAAAAATTATTGTAAATATTTATAATTTATTCAAATATTTTATCTGATGATGAAACTAAGCTGTTTACAGTCTTCATTTCAAAACCAATCTAAAAAGCTAAGGTATATTCTACTTGTTTATGAGAAAGAAGGCCATACAAAGTATTAGAGACACATTTTCCTAAGTCTTGCATTTTTTGATTTTGTAAGAGCAGCCATATGTGCTTTGAAGTTAAATGTTCCCACTTTGTTACTTGTTGTGGATTATATCCACTTAAACTGATCTGTAAACATTTAATGCCTCAACATTAATTCTTTTCATGCTGGTCTTCTGCAAAACTTCTTGTTCTCAAAATTATACCACATTAAAGAGGGAATATCACAATAAAGAATGCCCAAAAAAAAAAGAAAAAAAGCTTGTATTTATGAGAAACATGCAAATTTAAAAATAATAAGCAAAAGGTCAAAGACAAACCAAAATACATATGTATGAAACTGAAGCACTGCCATGAGAAGAACAGTAAATCACATGCTTTTTTGAGAGTATGAACCAAATAAATGTCATCATGAAAGACATCTTTATTTGAACTAGAATTGAACTCTAATTTGTAAATACCACTTCTTAACAAAAATGGCATTTTGAATTTCTTTGTAGAAAAGATTTTGGATTCTCCTGTTCTATTAGGCTGTTAAACAGACAAACCACATTTCAGTTTGTGAGGACTGGCACGGTCACCTTCTAGTACTTGAGTCCTCATAAACCAGAGTTGGGAAGGCTTTGTGTGACGAGATCCCCAGTATTTAATAGAAACAACCTACTTTATCAAAATATACTTACTCTCCTGTGTTGAAAAACATATGGCAGAAATCTGCATTAAAACACAGATTCCAAAACTGAAATTAGCTGTAATTTTCAACTTCAATATTTTCGATTTCTATTTATTTTAACAACACCTAAAGCAGTCAAAATAAGTAATTTTTAAAGTATACCATTTTAAAGGTACCAACGCAATCAATGAATGAAACGTTAATAAAAGTAAACTGAGCTGAAATGGTTTTCCCCAAAAGCAAGGACAGTACAGAAAGAACGCAATTTTGAGCATTAAGTACTTCCACAAGACTCATCCTCAGGACATGAGCTACATTTCATCCCTCGGGCTGAAAACAGTGTACAAGCTTTATATCTGTCATAGTCCAGAAACTTATACCGAAGCTTCTGCTCTTTTGACACAGTAAATACCACAACAATGACAACATAAATGTTATGCTTCCATTCCACCCCTTCCAAAGTCACATTTCATTCTTTGGAAGATGTTTATCAAAGTATACTTATCTTCAATAATGCACAACTGTAGCTTATTACAGTTCAATAACAGAGTCGGAAGGTATGTTGTATACATTAAGATACAGGAAAAAAACCCACGTTTAGATCAGCAGGCTTGTTGCACATTCCCCCTTAAGCTTCTTCAAAGACAAAATGTGATTGTTTTCAAAACAAGGATGGAAAAAACACACATGAAAGAGTTAAGAACACTTAAGATTTTGAAATGGTAAACAACTAAACTGAACCTTGCCCTAAGTTCTTACTTTAATCTAACAAACCCAGCCAGCCAGCATGTTCCCTACAGAAATAACTGCTGAGTAGCTTCAGGAAATTTGAGTAAGGACATTCTTATCTAACATCATAATTTGCAGGGAAGTTCACTTTAATGCTGCTTCTGCAGTCTTAGTGGAAGGACATTAAAGCACACGAAGATTGTTTGTCAGCATGGATGTCGAATTTATTTTTTGAAGTCACAACACCACTTGGAGTTCACTGTGGGAAAGTTTTTACAGTGTTGCTGCCCTCCAACGCCACAACATATACAGTAGGTATGTTTATAGTAAGCAGACAGACTAAGAAACCAAACAAAAGATAATCAAATGGTTTGTACAGAAATGGTTGAGCTTAACTAGACTGGAAAGACACAGGCAGATGTGAGCCAAGTACACAAAACAGGCATAACATACACTGTTGCTGTAGCCACCCAAGAATTCTCTGTGCTTGCATCTACTTTAACCCTGTGTTATATATAATTTCTGCAAGGAAGGAGAATGCAAAGTAAGCCACTAACTGGGGAATTTCTTTGGTCTAAGTCCTCTTAAACCTTTACTAGGCAATAACATTTCCCATGGTAAATTCTTCTGGGCAGGACCTGAGTGTCCAGGTTCTTTGTGTTGAAGATCCCACATCACTTCTGCTAAAAGCTAAAGAGTTAATTCTTGTCCTGGCTGAATTCCAGTGACAAAAAAATTATGCTCTCCCTGATTAAAAAACCCTTTTCTATTTCCCCAGGGTACAATCTATTTGTATGCATTCTACTGAAAATGAAGTGCTGAATTTCCTGGGATGTTTAAAAAAGTTGCTTTGTCACACCTAAAATTAGCTACAATTCAGTGACAAATGAATCAGAAGCTGTATCAGAAGTATCATGAAAAAGTAATAATATACACATATATATATAGGCAGGTCAGGTAAGAAAATGCAGGGGTTGAATTATTTGTTGTTCCTTTACATAAATTTTCTATCCAAAAATTGTGTTTGTCTACCATCTAAAAAACTCAACAGCTACAAGAGGAAAAAAAAGGCAAGTTTGATTTCATTATGCAGCAATCTTCTTTTCCTGACACTATATATATTACACAATATTTATTTTTTGAGACATAACTAAAGGGAAGGTGAGTATGTGTTCTTTAGGAAGTGTATTAAATTTGCAACATGTAGAAGTTTATTGGCAGCTGTTAATAAAATAGCTGAGGGATTTTTATTATATTCTAAAATAGCTAAAGAATGACAAAAAAACGTTCAAAGTAACAGCATAACCAAAGATTACTTGCATTTGTCTAAACTCCTGGAGCTGAAACTTTTCCCTTCAAACAGCAATACAAAAGGATTTCTTCTTTTCTACATTGCAAATGCAACTTCAAGGCATGAACACTTAATAAAGGATAGTCTCCACATCAGTTTAGATAAGAGTCAATAAGGGCTAAGAAAAACACATTTTTATAATGTATTTAAAATTAGCTTATATTAGTATTCCATGTATGAAAGGCAAACTTATCACAATCAAAACTCAACTTTTTTTTTTTAAAAAAAACCATTTACCCATGCATGACTAGAATCTAAAGAACTTGAACAATAAAATATTTGATAGAGATAATCAGGAATGCTGCAAGGCAAATGGAAAAATTCTTTTATTACTCATGAGAAGCAACAATACTAGCGAAGTAATGTAACAATCTTACTTCCCGTGTATAAAATGTTATTGCTACTAATAACATATCTGAAGCCTCCATATTACAGCCTGTTAAGCTTTGACCTCTCTGCTTAGTAGAGAAATCATAAAATTATTTCCCAAAACATTTCAGAAGATTTTTAATAAGAATTTAAAAGTCTCAGCCACTGATGTCAGCATATCATAAAAAGTGAAAAAACACACTCAGTATGTGACCTTAAAAATACACAACCTTTGAAAAAGAGGAAATTGAGAATATCAAAGAATTAGAAGCCCAAAAGATAAAGGTAAAAATAAATCAAAAGTTTATAACTGGTCATTGCAATCCAGACAAGCCTATACTGGAACAGTGAAGGCTTAACAGCAGCTTGCAGCTGAAAGACGCTAAGCTTTTCTTGCCATTATGTAAATATGCAGTTTCTTGGCCAAAAGCATATTCTCTATATATACTTGCTTGAAGTAAGAATAGTTTCCTAAAATTTCAAGGATTCTTACTGTGAAAAATCCTTGTATGAAGACTTGTCTCAAATTCCCAGGACCAGCTCTGTCCCCATCATCAGTGCAAGAAAAATATACGGAAGTACACATTCTTTGCCAGACTAGCAACCTTGATTCACCATTTATTCCCTGACACATAAGTAAAACTCAAACACCAGCACCTCCCCTCCCGCCCCACCAAAAAAAAAAAAAAAAAAAAAAATACAAACCACAAAACTCCCATAACAAAAACAAACCATGGAAATTCTGAAAAGCTTTTTTAAAAACAACTGTTTTTACATTTGGCAGTTCAAAGTCAAAACCATTCTGTATCTCCTTTCCTAACTTCTCCCTGCTAGTGAAGTCTTTTGGGTCAAGGGTCTTCCATATCTGAGGTGGGATCACTTGTAAATTAAAGTTTCTCAAATGGTCTGCAAATGTGGCTAGCAACTAAAAGATAGGCAGATGCTCCTATGCCAATGTAAATTCTTACAAATAATAGTAGTCATCTCACACTAAAACCTTACACATTCTCAAGCGCTGCCATCATTTAGTAAGCATCTCTTTTTCAATAATTACATATTCTTCATTAAGTATGAAACTACTTAAACCTTCCTGACCCTTTAAAAACCCACTGGAGGCCATGATCCATAGCAGGGAAACACTGTTCCACAGCAATCACTTACAGACCTCTCTTTTACAACCTCAGATCCTCTTTGTCAGGTAACTCCCAACAAGTCTTATCAGGCAATCAAAGCCTCTCACTAGTGACTTGGTTAATTACCATCCCTGGAAAAGACTTGAAAAACTGATTTATGTGTCACAGTAGCCAATTTGTTATCCAAGAGAGCTCCCATATCAGTGGAGGATCATCATAGTTTAATAACCATCCATTATCAACACAACACGATTGCAAACTGGAATTTCAATTAGAAATAAAAAAAAAAAAAAAAAAAAAAAATTAAAGAGATAAGCAAGCAGGCAGATCAACACTGATATTAAAATGCTGGATATAAAGAGATTCTTTGTCTGCAACAATTGGAACAATTTGTAAAATGGCCATGAGCAAGTTTCCCCCTTAAAGGAGCTTTAAACGCTCAAGGTATTTCAACTATCTGCTCATATAATCCAGATATTTATACAGCCTAACTATCTGAAATTTGCAGGTGACTGCTTGCACATTTGTTTCAGACACCTGCATAGCACTTGTGAAAACTGGGCTTGACTACTACTGGAAAGCTTTCTGGAGATCTACTCTCCCCACTTTACAAAACTACAACTCCTAAAAAAGATACTTATCTAAGTCCGGAAGTGCTAGAAATTGTTCTCATGTTGCTCTACAGAAGGAGCTCCAAGGAGCAATACAGTGCACCCAGGCTAATCTCTGCACTAGTCTCCACCCTCAGTTTGCAGAAAGCAGTCAGGCAGCTCCTGGATTGTCTCAAGGTCAAAACTTCCTTCTCTCTCAGAAGTAAAGCAAGTAACTTGCATTTAGAATGCTAACTAGCACCAAAACCGCAAGAGAAACACCAAGGACACAAAAAAAGTTAACATTCTCTCATCATTTATGTTTATACTGAAGAGAACTTAGCCATCAGTGCAAAACATTGAGTGTTATAGGCAAGATTTTCAAATGCTGCCATATCCCTCTGGAGCAACAATAGCGTAGGAAGAATAAGGATTATTCGGTAACTGATTAAAATTACACCATGAAAATACATTATTTTTAAAGAAACAAAGCTGAAGTATTTCTTTAGAAGCTAGCTCTCAACCCTCCTAACCTCAGCTGCTCTCTCCCAACACAAATGAGTGAGCTTTCAAACTGTGAGAATAAGCAGAAAATGCCTCTTTATTAAAATAAAAGTGATCTTAATAAAATTAAATTGTTATGAGGATATTTATCCTAATCAAATACGTTAAAGATTTGGTAGTACAGGGGAAAGGGTTAAAAAAAAGACAAAACAACACAACAGAAAAAAATACAGCAGAATATATCTACAGAGAGAAGGAACTTCACTATGACCACAGAATTGTCGTGGACTAATACCACAGAAAATATAACCAAGGGAATAAAGTCTTTTTATAACAGTAACTTTAAAATAAAATAAAATTTAAATTTACATAGTATGTCTAGGTCCAAAATATTTGATTAACTGCTCAGAAACAGCACATGGATCAAGCCCCACATATTAAATTTGTAGATGTAAACATCAAAGAAGATTAACACAGATTTGCACTGATCTTAGCTAGCAATTTTTTCAACTCTTATAAAAATATATTTACCGCCTCACTGTATTTACCTCACAGTACACTGTTCCAACAATATAGAGGCTATGTACAAATCCTAAGAAAAGATAATAACTTGAAAGTAGATTTGATTTTACAGAAGCATCTACAAAAGTGGTTTAGAGTCTAAAAAACTTTTTTAATACATATTAAAGTCCTCCTAACTGTAAACATGGAAAGCTCTGGGGAGATTCAAAAAGACTGCACCGAAGTAAAATGCTACAGGTGTGGTGAAACCGGCCATGTAGCCATCAACTGCAGCAAGACCAGTGAAGTCAACTGCTGTTTGCTGCGGCGAGTCAGGGCACCTTGCACAGGAATACAGAATTGAAGCTACAGCCTAATTATTCTCCTTTGTCACCCCTCCTTTTTCTGATTGAGGGTTATATTATACATTCATGCTGAGATCCAATAAGCACTAGTTCTGAAGTTGTCTAGCTGTCCAAGAAAGAACAACTCCTCCTTACTCCATCCTCACAGTGTATTGTCTTTCAGATACTTCAGTTTTGATACATCAGTCAGGCCAAATCTCAGCACTGTAGCAAAAGTACCATATTCACAAACAGATTCTAAAGCCAAGGCCACACAAGAACATAAGCCAAAGTACTGCAGAAGCTTCCACAAAGGTAGATTCTTCCCTCAGCAAAGCAGGCTTGCAAAGATATGCTATTCTCTCCATGAGCAAGAGACACAGAGCTAGTCTAAAGATTCTAATTATTAAAATGGAAGGAAAGAGGTTAACACACTGAAAAGCCTCTTGGTCACTTCCAAAAGGATGAAAACTCTGGCAAAAAAAAAAAATGTTGAGTTGTAGTAACAGTTTGCAAACTCTATATTCCTTAAAAAGAAATAATAATACAGAAAGTCAAACTTCTTTCATTTATACAAGCATAAATTCAAAGTAATGTTATCAAATTACCAAGAAACGGTCTGAATTTCTACCAGTGTGACACCTAGTTTTGACCAGCAGGTATTTTGTTTGCTTTATCAGTAACTGTATTAAATACAGTAAGATTATTATTGCTTAAAAATGAGGCATTTTTAAGACTTGCTTCTCAAGATGACATGTAGTCATAATTAACCTTTCCAAGCTTTACCAATTAATTTCCAAAAGACTGATTCCTACATAAAGTTTTGACTAAATTCAGAGATGCAGACTATATTACTAAGAAGTTTACATTTCAAGTCAATAAATAAGCAATGTATTCTCTTTTACCCCAAGATTCCAACTATTGAGACGTGCTTCAAGGTCACTGTCATCCAAAGAAATGGGTTTTTTATGACGATGGTCCTGGAACATAAAAAAGTCAAACAAAATATCAGAAGAGTTGGCAGACATATAGTCTAAAATAAAAGAAAATAAAAATCTTTTCATTGACTTGGCCATGACTACACTGCACTTTCTAATAGTGTCACTGTACCTCTGACAGTTTTAATATAAAATAGCTCAGTTACCAGTAGGATATTGTGCTGAGAAAGAAATTCAGAGGGTAAATTATCCTGCCTCCTCACTTTAGTTTTGTTCTTTATTTTACCTTTTTCCAAAGCAACAGACTCCTTTACAAAGGGTGAGTTTACTAAATAAAAATCAAAATATTCCGTTCTTCAGGCAACATACTCCTTCTAGAAATAATTCATCTCCACATTACCTTTTGTGGGGCTAATCCAGAATTCAGAGATCACCTGATCAGCCTCCAAATGAAAAAGGAAAAATAAAATTCAAGGATGCCACAGAAAGGCAGGGATATTTACAGTGGGCAGAGCTGCAAAAACAGAGGACAGAGTAGCTCCTACTCAGCTCAAGGCTAGGGGTCCTCTCTGCAGAAAGAATTTCCAGCCTTCAGTAAGAACTGTAGTTACTGCTGCCCAAGGCTATCTTTCAGAAGAAAGTTTTTCCTGTAGGATAACAGTAACTACTGATTTAACATATCAAAATGGGGAGCTGGTATAGAAAGTTTTCGATTACTTTGTCTCATTAGGTTTTGTTAGCAAGAGGTTTGTGTACTGGCATGCAAGCACCTCTTTTTTTAAATCTGCTCATTCATTATGAGCATACAGTGAATGGACCTTTGACTTCAGTTAATCAACACTTGGTTGAGGCGGTTCTTAATGTTTCTTAAAGGACTCCCTGTTCCTCTACCTGGGCCTGAATTATGCCAGAACATCTGTGCGTCACTGACAACAGAACAAGATACTATTTGTCACAGCCAGCCAAACGTTTATCAAACTGTTTGGCAAAGCAAGAGAAGATTATTTCACTTAAAGGCCCTTTTAAAGCTGTAATCACAGTAGAATCCAGTACGTGGAGCTGAAGAACAGTGATTTGTCTAACATTGCCCTGGAAGCCTGTGGCAGAGCCAGAAACAAAAAAGTAAACAACAATAACAAAAAAAAAAACCCACAACAACAAAAAGAAACACGAAACAAAACCAAAAAACACTTTAAAGTCCCAAATGGAAGTTTCAACTGAAGGAAATCCTTTTCTTTACAATAACTGTTCCATAAGAAATATTTAAGTAAAACAAACAGGAAACCAGTATGGAGAAATTTAGTAAATCCAGCATCTGTTTTTATTTTTAATGATGGCATTTCCTTTTTAAATTACATTTGAATATATACAATCAACACACACATAAGTACATTCATACCAACCAGAGACTAGAGCAGAGACATTCAATTTTTTGCCCACAGACCATTTGTAGCCTACCATGATAAAGCATCCCTTTGCTAATCCTCTACTGCAAATGCATAGCAGAATACAAATTTCCTCAGAAAGACAGACCTCAGAAGCAAGTTTACAGTTTATTGCACTTGCATTTCATGTCCTCATAAGTTCTTGATTGTGCCCAATAAAGAGAGGTAAGAACAATCTATGTGAATTGCTCGGGTGTCAACAGTCCACTTCCAGCTGCAATCTTTCTAAACATTTCCTTTGATACAATCAGAAAATAACCATGGGCAGACCTACAACTTACAGCAAATTCAGCATTTAATAGAGGGATGAAAGCTGTTATAGATGCACTGGCTATGGTGAAGGAACCACAGGAGACAGACCTCTCCAGTAAAAAAGACTAGACACTGCAAGCCTGCAGAACACACTCATGAAGGAAAACTGCATACTTCTCAATAACATGTATTTGTCAGGAGTCATTTTCAGTTTAAATGCTTGCAATTATACATACAATATCATTAAATATTTTGTACTCAAAAGGTTTTGCATGAAGTCTGTATAGTGTCTTTCCATCAGCCACAATGCTAGTTGTGGAAAGTTTGATGAAACAAACTGTCCAAAATTCACTCTTTCAGAGGTCAACCATCATTAAACAGAGCCAAAGACATCCATGCAGCTTTCTTTAATCTATTATTGCAAAATACAAGATGACGTCAATACAGTCAGTTTGCCAAGCCTAGGGAAAACAATGCAGCAGACATTAAACACACTACACTAAACAGAGGTCAACCATTAGGATGAACTGAGACCATCCTACAAGAAATTATTTTCCCCTGTACTTACAGAGAACAGATTTTGATGAGCTTTAGTCCTTCCTATCCCTCTTTCCCAAATGTCTGCACTTGAACACAGGGATCATGACTCATGCAATTAGAAATAACAGCTTGACAGAGATATACAAAAACAATTGATTGAAACTAGAGCAAGTTTTATGATAAAAAGGAGAAGCATCTTACAGACAGTGGTGTGGTGAGGTTATCTTCATCTGTCTGGTGAGGAGGACTCATAGAATGTGACCTTAATGCTGGCTTCTCATTGTACTTGAATCTTTCCCTGTTATTAACAAAAAGAGTAAGCAGAAAGGTAAGAATTAATTTTGAACAACTTGTCACACACAAAGGATGTTAATCATAAAGTCTTTTGAAATATACAAGAGAATAGTCAAGATGCAAAGATCAAAAATAGTAGAATAAAAAAACCAGAAAAATTTCTTATTAAAGGCATGCTAAAGGCAAACAAAAGCCTTAAGCAGTCTATTAAAAAAAATAACACCCCCAAAATGCCACAGCAATGAAAACACCAGAAATATCACATATATCACGGAATATTAAAAGGTGTTCTTTACATTTCCGTTACTACATGACCCAACATCTCCCAACAGATTTTAAAATAAATTCAAGTTAGCTGAGAAGTCTGATCTAAGAGAACGTTTTTGAAACAAAATTGTTAAGCATATAAGACAGCATAGGATAAAGTCCAGCAACTCAGAGAGAAAAGGAACTAAGGTGATGCCTGGCCACACCATAGGAGAGAAAACTTTAAGACAAAGAAAATAAGAGGTTAGTTCAGGTTTGTACGTTATACGAAGATATACCTTGAAGAGCAAGAACTACATATACGTGCTCAATAGAAAAGCAATGGCTTGAAAGGACAGGGTGGAGAGTAACATGTCAAAGAAACAAGTCATAAGGATTGTATTAGTTGCATTTCATCTCAGCTTTATTTGATGTACTACAGAGGTATATATGAGGGGACAGTAAAGAAAAGCCTGCAAGACAAGATGCAAGTACAGCATGAACAAGTACTCCGTCCAGCAGAGAAAAAAATGAAGACAGGGATTTTCTGAAAAAGCATGTGTCATAAATAAAGCACTTGAAAAAAAGGAAATTAAGAATAGCAGATAGGTAAAGATCGCCTTCACTGATGCACCTGGTCAACAGACATTTCTCAACTACAGAACAGTGAAAGAAAAGAACAGCCCGGAACAAAATAAAATAATAATAATAAAAGTTTATTAGATAGGTTGATGTAGCAAAAGATTCAACACAGTAGCGAAATATCCTTCAGCATATACTCCAATGTCAAATCCACACATATTAAAGTAATCAAAAACTCCTGTTAGTCCATTCACCTTCCTATGACTAGCTATAGTGTATTAAAATCAAGTCAGACCATTAAAATACCTTTCATTCTTTCCATCCGGCAGCAAATTAGACAGTAAGTTATGCCAAAAAGACACTGCGACAAATTAAGTGTTTATGAACAGAAAGACAACTGTTGGATGTACAATGTAAACTAGTCACTTCTAGGAAGACAAACACAGACAAACTTTCCATGAAGCACACCACCCCAGCTTTCATCAAAACAGCAGGGAACAGTGAAATATAACAACAGGGAGCATACCTCCCCTTCCAGCACCAATAAATATCAACAACATATACGGATGTAAAATAACAATTACAAAGCAGTAAATAGTTTAGATAAGCGAAGTCTTTGAGGTGAAACAGATCAGAAGAAGTATAATACAATGACTGTTTCTAGCATTACAAATCATGCATTTCTTACCAAGATTTCATTTGACAAAAAAATTATTGTTCATTAAATGGAGACAAATCTCTGCCTGTCAGTAAATCTGCCTTTTTATCAGGCTTATTTTCTAAACAATACTCAGGTCACCTAACAATTCAGTGAAGTTCCAATTGTTTAAAATGAGAGAAAACAGAACTCCTGTCCCTATTATTAAGAGATTAAGGAATGCCAACAAACATTCAAACCAACCCGTCACCTATAATATTTTTAAATTGACAAAGTGGGGGAAAAAAGTCTAGATATATTCTTAGTTCTATATTTACTGTTTTGAAGAGGAACTGGAAAGGAAGTTGCTTTACTCAATTCTATAAACAAAATTAAAAAAAAAAAAAAAAAAAAACAAACAAAAAAAAAAACACAACCAAAAAACATTAAGGATAGACCTCAATTTTGCTCATATCAAGCATATGTTACCCGTTCACTCCCTTTTCCAGATTTCTGCAAATACAAGTCAGGCTCCAGAAATCACAAAATTATTTCTTTTTTTCCCACAGCAGGTAAGCAGAGAATGGTCAAAGTCTTGTCACCAGCCCTGTGACCTTCTGCTTCAGCCAAAACAGTGAGCTAGCATGGGAGAAGGAAACAATTTGATGCTAATAAAGGAGATCAGTAAGTTCCTAGTAGGAGCAAAGTACGTTAAACTCACTGGTTCCTCCTGGTACAGTACAGCACAGCTACACACTAACCTTCAACAACATCTTTCAGGCATAATCTATAAACATACAGGACAATTTTTCTATGGGGTCAGAAAGACCAGGTTGCTGTTCAAACCCAACTACACATTCCTAAAACCAACTCATGTTCCAAAACAAAGATGCACATTTCTAGCACCAGCAAGGTTGGTCTTATTCAATTACACCCTAGTTTGCAAGCAAGGTTTGTTTATCCACTTTTTATTTAGCCAGATAAGCAACTTCTTATAGAAAGCCAAAACTGTCATAGATACAAGTGTGTGTATTGCAAGACAAAAACATCTATGAAGAAAATTTCTCCATTTGTTTGCTTCTTTTAAAGGAGAGAATCATAAGATAAATAAACATCAAAAAACTATTCAAACATTTCTCACTATCATTATCTATTTTGCCCTGAGAAGTGTTGTAGTCTATCTGTAAGAACTGAGTCACTGTTGGAATGCAAAATTTTTGTCCAACTACATACATTGCATGCCTATGGATACAGTTTTCCTAACACACGTTCTGAGTAGAGAGAGAAGTATAATGGAACGCGATCACCATCTGCTGGCTCTCTCTACAAACTGCAAATTCCAGAAGTACTCCCTGCTTGTGCTGATAGCTCATTCAAAACTGTAAATACATGCAGAGGATCTATACATTAAGTATAGATAACGTCTTAATATAGATATATGTAAATTAGAATTAAATAAGCTATTTCTACAAAACATAACAGCTGAAACATTTACCTTCAGATTTTCTTCCTGCATGACTCACATTTAACATAAATTTCTCATTACTACCAAGAAAAATTTATGTAATCTACAGAGCTATCAAAATTTCTAATTGCCAGCATAAATTCAGATTTCCTTAGACACAGCTCCATTCCTTGTATGAATACCCATTAGCAGAGCCATGCCTAAGTTTCATTTACAAATTTCTTTAAACCAGTAACTTACTCTATCCCTGACATGAAATAACATGCAATACAGGTCTCCAGAGAATTCACCAGAGCCTTGGGAACCATCTGTTGATCACCACTGTAGACATCACTACAGTCCCACAGGACAAAAAAGAAAAAAGTAAATTAAATAAAGCTTTATTACCCCACCCACTACTTAGGGAATTTTGCCAGATCAAGAGGAATCTTAGGCTCAGATACTGAATGTGAAAAGGAGTCAGATTTCCAGTACTCTACTATAATCCAGGTAGCAAAGACAGAAAATATGGCAAAGAATATAAGGAATGGAGTAGGCAGAACTGTACCTCAGCCTCCCTCAAATTGGGACAAACACCAGCTGAATGCAGAGGGAGGAGTATGCTGTCTCATCCCACTCAAATAACACCTCAGCTGACAGTACAAGTAAGGAATTCAGAGGATTTAGGTGTATTTTTATGTCACAAATATGGCCTTGAAGAGATATCAATATGCTAGATTGGGCCTATCAGGGAAGAGTTGTGACAATCTTGTTTTATTGCTTCTAATACCCAGAGTGATACTTTATGACAATGGTGCTACTCCCAGTAACAATCTGATCAGATCTGTGCTAGGCATCTTGACATGGCACAACGCTATCTAACAGATTCAGCTAAGGTCTCAAAAAGCATTTCTAAAGCCTCCTTTATGAAAACATACCTTAATTTCATAAGATCAAACGCAATTTTTTTTCATTGAGGGTATTTGGACAGTTCTCCCCAATGGTTCTTTGTATCACCAAGCCTAAAGCAGTAACATGGTAACACAACTGGCAATTTCTTCATTCTCCACCTTTGTTTCTTAAACCTCAAGTCTGCTGTCGAAACTCCAGTTTCCTATCAGAGCATTTAAGTACAAGCATCCAGAAGACCCCTTAGTAATAACATTGTAGGACTCAGAAGAGATTCATGAGTCCTAAGAGCAACTTTTTAAATGACTGTTAGAATTACACAGTTAATGGATACATAAGAGGAAAAGTTTCACAATACTCAATATCAGCATGATGTAACCTGCAAGAGTGCCTATCTGTCATCTATCCAAATCACAGCTGAAAAAATTAAAAAAATGCAAGATTTGGCACTGAGATATATAGCATAAACATCAGCATGCCTAGAAAATAAAAATAACAGCTAATGATAACCACTTACAAAAAATGTAAGTGAACACATAATGCATTAGACTTTCAAAACAAAGTCTGTGAGCATATTTATAGTGCAATGAAATCAAACCAGAAGTTTCATCTAGAAGTAGAGCAAACACTTACTTCCTCTTGTACAGAGTCTACTGAGCTTTGAATAATATTCATGCTCTACCTCTAAGAGTGTTTTTTTCACCGAGTGTTTCCAAGAGTTTAAACATTAACTAAACTTCAAAAATGAGCAAACAGGAGGCAATTCCATCCGTGACTGAAATGTAACCACATAAAAAAAATGGAACATAGATCTTGATAATCAGTGCAAAGTTTCACTGCATAAGAAAAACTAGAAATACAGTAAATACTTAAGAACAGAATGCAGATAAAACTAAAATTTATCTAAGATTCCCACAAAATGGGACAGAAAAAAAGCCTGTGATTTTCAACAGTATCCAACTGACCAGCTTGGCACACCTTCAATACTGCAGGGACATTTTTCTAAGCCAAGAGGAAAACAAACCTTAACAACCTGATACATTTCATCCCTTCACTTGCTCTGTAAACAGCTCAATACCCAACTGATTGGAACTACGGATGCAGCTTAAGCTTATTGTTTCCTGTAAACCTACGAAGACTGTCCAATGGATTGCCAAATAAGGTGCAGCTACAGATATACAGGATTCTGATATACAGCTGCAAATGAGCCATACTGAAATTTTTTGTGTTATCCTAATGACAAACATGTAGGATCTAAGCATAGGGGGTGCTACTCACCAACAAAGCACATGTATTTGTAGTAAACAGCATGATACATATCAAAACATTTCAAATCAAACTCAGAGAGATTGTTCATACAACGATGGAGTCATTGCAAACCATCCTCCCCACATAGGAGAACAAAACAACATGGCAGAGTATCCCACAGGCAGCAGCTCTGATTTTTAGCCTCATAAATTTTAACAAGTATAGCTGGTCTAATCTGGCCTTCTCTAATCCAAGATTCATGAACCTTACAGGAAATATAAAGAAATCTTGCTATTTCATAAAAAAGCCACAATGAAACACAAGACAAACAGGTGAGTGTTTAATAAGAACTAACATGCTCACAAAAAGATGGATCAAATCCCTCTCTCTTTGTATGCATCTAACTTTCCTTCCTTTGTCACAGAACAGCAAACTTGCTGATCTGCAGGGAGTCACTATTCTGTTCCCTCTAAAAAACCTGTGAGCAACAGTGAGAGAACATCCTTTAAGTCTATCATCTGTATGCTTGTTTATATTTCTATTCTCTATAGAAAAAAAGCCATTGAAAACTACTTGATGTAAAAACTCCTTTCAGTATCATGACCTTAGACTACAAATTGGGTTTTTTTAAATATTATACATCTACTCTCCCCACATTTTTTGTCACTTGCCTACTGTACGTTCCTTTTATTGTGAACTGTATAGAAATAGTGAAGATTAATCCACCTCAGTTTCATTAGTTAATACCACTTTCCAGCTTCCATATATCAGCATGCAGAAAACAGGACTGTACAAGAACTCCAAGGGGACAGCAACTGCTTTGATCTATTTTAAGAAAAATCTGGCCTAAGAATCTTCTGCATCTATACAATCTTTTACCACATCACTTCTTCCTTACTGCCTGTCCACACTTGTCTGTGCTTCCCTCTCACAGTTATTTTGTTTGACTTCTGTCTCTTGACTTGTGACCACTGTGCTTTGCCACCATAACATCTGAGTTCTGAAAAACATAATCAGAGCACCAGCTTATTTGACAGATATTTAGAATGCCAGAACAATAACTTTTACCTACTTTTGAAGACTACAGAGTATGTTACCAAGCCTACAGAGAATATTAATGTGAAGAGTGGTGCAAAAAATGTGGACTGTGATTAATTCTATGTTAACAAACAGCCTCTTTGTGCAAGTCATAAGTACCCCATGGTAACCACCAGTGCAAATCACTATAAAGCCCTCTCTTTAGTTGTTGCTAAATTTCTCAAACTATCAGTCTGACCTACTGATTTTCCATGGAAAGTGTCTGTATCTGAAAGGGGAAGAGGAGGTAGGGAAAGAGCATAGAGCTATGGGACATGGAAGAAGACTTACAGAAGCCAGAGAAGACAACATAATGGAGGAACATAATAAATAGGAGTCTTTATTAAGTTAGAAGCTATTATCTGAGTTTCCGTATATAAAGTACAAACACTATATTCAAGATGAATCCATGAGAGAACGTAAGAAATTCATACATACAAATTGAAACATACGGAGCTTATCAAATCAAACATCTATTAAATATGTAATCAAATACCAAATAAAGCAAATACAGAAATCCTACCCATATGTAAGTGGTGTTGCTGAAGTTGATTCCTCTTTAGAAGATGTCTTCCACGATTCCTCATGCTTAGATCCACTGTTTCCTAGTTCTCCCATTACCCAGTCAGGTAAGCAGTCCGGGCTACTACTCTGAACTCTTGTTGAATTTGGCTCATCAAAATAAATTGACTATAATTAAAATAAATACAAAATCAATTGCAGAATATATTTACACAAAGATATTCTTTACATCATTAATGTCATTTCGTGTGGGATATTCACAGTATAAACATTCTTTATCCAATCAAGTCAGTGAGGCGTGCGAATATATTACCTTCCCAACCAATGGAAATTAGTACAGCAGGCAACAGCGTAAATGTTGTCCAGTACTTCTTTCTGTATAGGTAATTTTAGCATAAATTAGGACTGTTATCTCACTAAAGGTGATGCCAATAATTGACAGGGTATATTCAGGTTTTCAGAAAACAAACTACAAGCTTAACAGTATTTGTGTAAAATACAGTTTTCTTTCATAAAAAGATAGAGTACTGTAGTCACCTCAGGCTACTAACATCACCTCATTTAAGTACATTTTTACTTTCACAATAACTATCTGCTGATTAGGACAAAATATAGCCTCATGCCTTTTATTACATCTTTTCAAAGAATTAGACAAAAATTATCTTTCTATTCCTTCAGAACACCTATTTTTATAAGCCTTCTTAGAACCTGAATTTTAAAGATCAAATAGGTCTCATAAAAGGTTTTGCACTTTGAAAGATTTTTCCAACACTAGTTACAAGACGCGCAACATAGAAGCCTGAACTTGCCACATGCAGTTCCACTCAATTCACTCAGAATTGTTTTTCACATTTATGCCAAATCAAAGACTTGAAAGTATTTTCATCATATATTTCAGCAAGTTTGTCTCAAAGAAGTTACACCCACCATGTATGAAGGTAAAGTTTTAAGTATTCCTGGTTCTGGTTTATGTGTGAAAGGACCTTCCAGCACACCTCGCTTTAGCATGTGGAGCAGAAGTTTTGCATATGCATTCCGATTCTTCCTTCCTGCTATTCCTGTGCCTGCTCCTGAGGGTTCACATAGTTTTTTAATCCACAGTGCACATCTTTGTCGTTCTAAAAATATAGATAAACATAATCACTCTCCATTTTTAAAGCAAATCAAACACACAGAAAAAATGGAAGCCATTACTGATCACCAGCTTTGTAAATGTTTCCCTTCTATTCAAAAGTTTAAAGCAAAACAAACAAAAAAACCCCACAAAACGACCAAACCAAAGGAAAAAAATGGTTGAATATCTAGATTAAATATAAGTCTTTAACACTAGTTTAAATTTACATCATCCAGAATTTTTTTCTATAAATTCATGTTTATCAGAAGTTTACATGACTTCTGGAAACAACATGTTCAGAATCAATCTCTAATAAGTACAGAACACCTAAGTCATCAGGAATTCTGAACTCACTGCAAGAGCTGCCATTAACTACAACATACAGCTTGCATGAGCGTTAGTATTTTAAAGACACAATAAATCTTCATACATTTTAAGTATCTCTATTTATACAAGCTTTGCTACCGGATGATTAAATTATTCATTTGAGTAAAGATTTACAAAGCAAGGTCTTAATTTGTAGAGTTCCTGTCTTTAATAATAATCAGTTTGTTCTAATGATCGGATTTATAAAACATCATTAATTTATTTTTATATTATTATATATTCCTAAACCAAATTTTAAAAACATTATTACTAAAAACTATTTGCAGTTTTATAAGTGCAAATGTCAAAACCAACGCCTTTTGATTGTATAGAAACTAAAAGCTTCTAAATTTTTTAAATTAGAGACATTAATGTATTTATGCAAAAACACATTTACATCACCAAAACAGATAAGGTCAAACAATAACAATTGGTACCCAAAAAAAAACAACTTCAGAGGTCGCACAACCGCCCCTCAAAAGAGTGCCTTGTAACATCAAACATTAAGTGGGTAAATGAAGTGACACAAGTACACATAATAATTATCAGTAACCTAGAATTTTGTTATTAGCATTTCTCTATATGCACATTTTACCATATTTACCTGACCTATGCTGTAGTTTTAGAACATGAGGCTTCATATCCACAACACAGTGATCAAATTCTGCATCTAGTTTTTCCCATATTTCCTCTTCACCATTCATTCTGAAAGAACACAAGGTAACCTGCAATATTATTCCCACTGAAGTAGAAAAGATCAAATACCCCTGCACATTAGTCCCTGTTCATCTTAAACCATGCAAAGACATGTTTTGGAACTGTATGGAAAATAAACCTGATTGTTTTATTTTGTTCAAATAAACACAAGAGCGATTCTTTGCAAACAACAGATATTCAGTGTAATCTACAAGAATTTGTCTGTTTATGTTTGGAAATGAGCGAACATGCAACAACGTATTAAATTACACACCACTTGTAGCAAACACCTAGAGGCATTTGTGTCATAGTCCCATTCATAAATTTTTCTCCCTTAGCATGTTGTTTTGTTGCTTGGGGTTTTTTGAAGAATAGGGGGAAAAAAAAAAAAAAGAGGAAAAACAGCAAACAGACCTGGGAGTTAAAAGTAATAGAACCAATAAATGTTGTCAGAATTGGGTTTTAACGAAGGAGTACTGAAAAGACAGCCAAACTTTACCCAAAGCGATCTGTCATTTATCTCCCAGCTGGAGTACGCATCTTTTTGTACATTTAAGCCTGTAAGCAGCACATGTTTTTGCCAATTTCGGCGGAACACACCAGCCAGCCTGCTGAAGCGGCTGGGGCCGTGCCCTGCGGACAAACCCCGTCTTCCCCACCTGGGTTCCCACCTTCCCCTCCGCGGGTGCTTTATCCCCCCGCTTGCCGGGAGCCCCGCGTCCACCGGGAGCCGAATCGCGGCGATTTACCACAGCGAACGACCCCGAGTTGAAATTCCCGGGATTACCACGGCCACGGACCTGGCCCCACGCTCCGCACCCCGGCCCCTACTCCCCCGCACCGCCCCTCACCTTCACCTCGCTCTCCGCAGCCCGGCGCCGGGGCGGGGGCGCGGGCCGGGCCGGGGGGTGCCGGGCCCCCTCAGCGGGGGCAAAGCGGCGCGGCCCGGCGCAGGGCCGGCCCGGCCGAACGGTTCAAACCGACACCGCCCCCGCTCCCGCCGGCCCGCGCGTTTCCGTTTCCGCTGGTTGCCCCGGCGACGCCCCCGGGGCGGGAAGCCTGAGGCGGGCGGTGGCCATGGCGCAGCCCTGAGGGGAGCCCTGAGCGGGGTGTGTGGGGGCGGCTGACTTCGGCGGGTTGTTCGTGCCCAGAGGCTACGATAAAAAAAAAAAAAAAAAAAAAAAGTGGGCTTGAGGTAGTATAAACGGTGCGTTACAATCACAAGCTGTGCTCATTAATTACTGTCCGAAGTGATTAATGTCACTTCGCGGTCAACAGCGGCTGTCCCACCGCACCAGACACTGCAATCATCGCTACACCCAGCAGTCGGCACTACTCCCAGCACTTCCACCCAAAAATACACGCGTACATAGATAAATATTTATTTATACGCTCAGTCATGCATGCACATCAGAAACCCCAAGAGGTCCCAGCAGAGCCTGAGGGAGCACCAAGGCAGAAATGGGAGACACCATAAAATTTAATGAGGTTGGTTCAAGTCCTTGTTACGCTGGGGATGGACCTGGTGCTTCAGCATGGCAGGAGAGCCTGGACCAGAAAAATGAGGGTGCAGAAGCAGTGAGAGATAACAGGGTTGTTTGGAATGTGTCTCTTTCTTTCAACTGCTGCTAGCTGGATATCAGCTATATCTGTTTTTATATCTTCATTATGATCAATATTTGGGGGACAAAATGCTTCCACTCAAAGCTTAGTGAAAAATATTTGCTACTCTGAAATTAAAGGTTAGTAAATCAGAAGTAGCTTTTGAGTCTGAGCAATGTTTTTGTAGCTCCATGGTAGGTGCCAGAAATTTCAGCGGATAGAATGAGCCTGAAATTGAAGGTGCAGGCTGAATACTTGCTGAGCCAGTTTTATCCACAGTTTCTGAGTATTTCTAAGTAAAATTTGTTCAAGTATATCCTTGTAGATAAAAGCATGATTTTGAGTTCACTTTAAAACAATTAACATGATAGAATCATAGAATGGTTTGGGTTGGAAGGGACTTTAAAGGTCATCTAGTTCTAACTGCCCTGCCATGGGCCAGGACACCTTCCACTAGACCAGGTTGCTCAAAGCCCCAGATATGTAATACTACAAATGTACTCAATATTGCTCATATTTCATGGGTTGTCCTATCCCAAGGACAGACAATATGAGGGGGTATTGTGGAACAGAAAAATGTAAAAGTGAATGCCTGGTGTTTCTACACAAAAGACACAGGTTACACTTTGTTTTGTAGCCATGTCAAGAAAACCAACAATTAATCCAAAAGAATTTGAGAAGTCTCCCAGTCCTTTCAACTCTTCAGTCTCTTCCTGAGTCAATTAAATGATTTTCTCTGTGTGTGTATGATCCCAAATAAATCATCTGACCTCTTCAATTCATTTATTTCTCTTTCCTAGAATCTGTCATGGGCCTTCCTATGTGTATAGCGTCTAAAGTGCTTTTATCTCAAATGAATAAACTCTTCAGCACTTCTAGGCTTGATTCACATGCACATACACATCAAACAAGAATTTCTTAAATTTACAATAGCAAATTGGCTGGTTTCTTTGATTTCTCAGGTAATCTTCAGCAGAAATGATTCGGTGTCAGGGCTCATTCAGTGATAGCTGTGACAGCTACACTGGTTACCTACTCAGGCTGCACATAGCTCCTGAAACCAACATTTGCATAGAAGCAGTGCAAAAATCAGTGACGGAGTATTTAATCCACAGTAGAATCTCATGAGTCAATTACAAAGTTTATTTATTACCTTCAAATTCCAAATTTAAAATAATTGTCATGTAGTGTATGTTTGAAGATATGACTACTTTTAATCTGTTTTAAAGTAGTGGTATATTCTTGCAGAACAGTAAGACTCCTGGGTGGCTGACTTGCCAGCCAATAGCTAAACTTGCTGAACTTTTCACCTCTGAGTCACCGGTTCAGATACCCAGATTTGCCATGGGAATTTTGTAATCATTATGAAATCAATTTGTCCAAGTCAGTCCAAATGACAGAAGATGGGCAGGAGTTTTGTTAGTTGTTAGAATATGGAAGGCTGAATGGATTTAGTGACGTGACTCTTTCCAGGTAGGCTTTTCAAGGGCAGCATATCAGCATATTGGCCAGGTGACATGGTGAGAGGTTTGCACTTTTGTCCAGCTTTGCAAATCTGCTTTTTGGCAGTCAAAAAGGGTTGAAATTTCTAAGCCAACTTTTTTGTATGTTGTTGTTCATTGATTCATATCTGCACATTGCCATCAGGTTTGGGTATGTCATGCTCATCACAAAATACTTTGAAAAACTGAATTTGCTGGTATATGGTGAAAAAGAACATGAGGCAGAGCAGAACCAATGAAGTTGGAACCAGTACTCCAGAAGAAATTTCTGAGGGAATAGGTCCAGTGTCTGGGTCTGCTTACCAATGCAAAGCTGAGTGGCCTGAGAGGTTGAAGCCTACCTGCATTGATTTGGCAATTGCTTCACTTCTGTCCAAAAAAGAAGTAAGGATTCAAGAAATGACAAAGCCACAGCCTGGATGTGATGAGTACTGATGTGCACTAACCATCCCAAGAAAATCACTATAGATACACTGTTATAGAATACACTGATATCCTAATCCGGAATACAGAACAAATTCCCAATTTGAATTGTAAAAATATGTTCATTTAAGTGAAGCACATTCAGTAGTCTTTTTTTTTATTCATCTCATTTTACCATGTTCTCTTATCTCTGTAACTGTCTTAGCAGGTTGCCACAAGTAACATGAGCACAGCTTAAGGCATCCTTTCAAACATCTTGGAAAAAAAAAAAAAAAAAGCAGGTTTCACTCACTCGTACCAGCCTTTGGAACACCTCTAGTTGCAATACATTATTTTTCAGACCTTCTAAGCAAACCTTTCATGTCTGAAAAGTTGTGATTCACAAACACCTCGCTACTTCAAAGACTTATCAGGTCACAGATTTTTTTTCTCCGTCTTCTTGCTTCAGGAGACTAAATAATAAATTCAGCGTATGAACATTGGCTCCTAACGCTGATTCTTTCAAGTATTCAAATACTGCACAGCCAGACAGGAAGCAGGGCCAACTGATGTGATCAGTTGTTATCTTGCTGCATGGGTAAGTAGAACTGGGAAAATTTGCTTATAAAAATCTCAGTGTTCCTGGGGCAACTATTTTTGTGCAAAATACAAATCATTTCAGGGAAAAGCAGCAGTGAGGGCTAACTTTACTTACTCCATCTTCACAGTGTTTTGCTGTGGAAGACAAGTTAATATTAAACTGTGTTTAGTATCTCAGCTACTGGCCTGAACATCCCGATCCCAGAGATGTATCCACACAGCATTTACACTGGATTGCCAAACAGATAGGTTCCTGCCAGCTGATCTGTCTATGTGCTAGAAGTAGTTATGAATATTTTGGCCTGTAAATCAAATGTCATTCAAGGATCCCGCTTAAACATGTTAGGAACAAAAACACAGTGCACATCATACCAACGAAATACGCTCTTCAGTTGCTGGTGTGAATTTGTCTATCTCTACATGAGAGAATTAAATTGCTGATTAGTACAAAGAATTAAATATTTAATAATAGCTGCCTCAATCTCTCTGTAAAAATAGGAAGTATAAGAACAAATTATATCAGTCGTACTATTAAAATATTCATGTGCAGCCTTCAAAAAAAAAATATAAAAGTATGCTCAGTTTTTTAATGGTAGTTGTAGTCTCTTACAAGTAGTTTGAGCTTAATGTTAAATGATCCTTTTGAAAAGTTCTACAATAGGTCGCTCACTGTGTAGCTTATTTCTGCTTTTAATCACAGAGAAGGCTGTTATGTTTCAGCAGGAACCACATAGGACTCATGACAATTTATTGTAAGTGTACAACAGACATTTATCACTTTCTAGTATGTTGAAATTATAACTATATATTCTACATGGAAATACAAACATAAGCACAAAGCTTGCCAGACTGGATCAAACCAGTGAACTACCTTGTATCATAAATCAAATTAAAAGCACAATTTACTTCAAAGCTACTTAATGACCAAAAATCATTACTATTGCTCAATGGTGTACAATTCTCTTTTTTTTTTTTTTTTAGAAAAAAAAGGTATCAGTTACATTGCATAATATTGAAACAGTGGTAAAAATTAACAGTTGTTTAAAACAACAGTTTCAGGTGAAGCTAGAATCTTGAAAACATAAATAGTCTTACTAGCTTTAGGAATTTTTTTAAAAAGTATAAAAGAACCCTTTATCTGATGTTATTGATGTTTAAACCATGGTTGGATATTTGGCTTCTAAAGTCATTTAGAAATCTCAGTCCCACTTACATAAATTCTGGAAAATCCTAGGCTGATGACCCTCAGTCTATCTATAATTAAACGTCCACTCCCTATCACAGGGGAGCAGTAATGGAGTCAGAACCCAGCTAATTACTAATGGTGAAGGCCTTTTCTTATAAATCAGTTAAGAGCTAAAGGATGTGATTGATGATTAGGTAATATGAAAAAGAACACACTATTGGCTGAAAATTACTTTATTGTAAAGGGACTGCTATTGAGAAAGTAATTTACAGTTACGTAAGTGTTGGAAATATGGAAAAAGAAATAGTATTGCAAGGATTTTGAAGAAAGCAGAGAAAAGAGTGTGAAAGTTAATTGCTGAAATAATGTGTTACAGCTTGTGAAAGATGCTGGTAGGGATGGTGATTGGGAAAACCGCTGAGGCTGCATTCACAGAGAGTCCGGAGGTCACCTGGAAATGTACACTCATGGGATCTAAGCGTTCCTCTTTTATGTGTAACGTTTTGTCTCGGTAAGGCAGAAATTTAGTGCTGGATTACTTCTCTGATTCATTCTTGATCTTCACATGGTTTCATGTCAGATGGGTCCTTCTTCACAAGAGTTGAAAAAAAGCCACGTTCTGTTGAAAACAAGTCAAGAACTTGGGTTCAATTTTTGAAACGTGATAGATGAACATTATGTCTTGTGGACCCTGGTGGGTGAGCAATCAA